TTGAACAAGTAAATGCAGGCTTCACTGCCTTACAAAGTCAGCTTGACTGTCTTGCCCAGGTCATTTTGCAGAATAGGCATGGCCTCGACCTGCTGACAGCAGGAAAGGGAGGCGTCTGCAGGTCTCTCCGGGAAGACTCTGCTTCCGTGTCAGCCAGTCCAGAGTCGCCCCAGACGCTGCGAAGACAGCCCCCTCTGCTCACAAGAACCGTGAGCTCTAGGGGGGCCATCTCTTTTGGCCACATGGGGCCTTCCGTCGTGCTGGGATGGCAACTGTAGATGGTCTAGTGGGCATGGCTGACCCCTGGTCTGCTCTGTTGCCAGGCCCTTCCTCATGTAGTGGCTGTCAGCCCCTGGTAGGTGGGGCTGGGCCACGAGGCCACTGGCTGGGGAGCCCTCCAGAGTTGCAGCATTAGTGCTGGCCCACTAATGGCCAGAGCCCGTTCCCTGTGGGTGGTGTGAGCCCAGGTCCCAAATCTATTATCCTCCTGGTGGGCAAAGATGGGTCCCGACACAGCTGACTGTGGGTCCAGGGCATACCAACACTTGTATCTGCCTGCTGGTGGGTGGGGCTGGCTCCTGGGGCAGCTAGTGGAGAGGTCCAAGGTGTCCCAGGGCTGGTGCCAGCCTGCTGGAGGGCAAGGCCTGGGCATACAGAGCCTGAGCGAGGTGCTGCCTGCACGTGAGCAGAGTCAGATCCCAGGAACTCCGGCAGCAGAGCAGGTGCGGGGGTGGGGTCCCCGAGCTGGTGCTGGGCTGCTGGCAGGTGGGCTGGGTCCTGATGTGGCTGGCTCTGGGGCCAAGCTGGTCCTTTGTGCTGTCCTCCACTTTTGAGGTTTTTTTTTTTTTAAATATGACAAGAAATCTATTGTATGAAAAAGTGTATTTTATATTTAAAAAACCCCCAAAACTCTAGAAATATATTCACCAAGATGGTAATGACTGATGGAGGAAGATTTATTATTTTCTTTTATATCTTTTCCTGTTATTTTTAAGTTTTTTTTAAAAAACACCAATTCAAATATGTGGTATATGCACAAATAATTCAAAATGAAAAGGAAAATTATTCAGAGATGAAAGTAAGGCTACCATCATGATTTTGCCATGTTTGATTTCACTAAACAATCACACCCCAGC